CCGCGCAAACCCTCACGCGCATTTAAAATTCAGATTAATAGAAACATTTCCGAAGTTCACATTGTCTTATAATTGTCTTTCTGGTTTTAATGAATGTTGAACAGCTGACAAAAGTTCGAATACTTTTTGTTTTAACTATCTATAATTATATGCACGCTATCTGACCCTTTGACCTCGATTTGGCTTGGACAGAATATTTTATTTTAAACAATATTCTGACGTGAAATACAAAATGTATATCAACACAAGTACGACATGGTTGTATGGGTTTTCTTTCCTGATTGTTGAGTCTTCGCAATGTGTTTTGTATAATTATTGTTGTTTTTCCCCGAGGCAAAGACAAGCTGAAAAACCATGAAGCTAAATGGCAGTTCCATGCATGGGCTGAGTGAAAGGAAATATTTTAAGCCTAAAATACAACCTAATATTACACCTCTTTGTGTATTTGTTAATTTTACATATGTTTTTCATGACAGTATGTCTGTAAATATCTAGAAAAATCTTGTTTTTCGTTGATAATTTCGATTGTTTGGAATGTCTGTCGACTGTGTCCCAATAATTTGTTTGGAATGTCAATCCCAGTTGGTTTCTCCATACTGAGTTTAGGAAGGGTGTCGTTCAACACAATCCCCCGAGACAGGACAAACATTGACCGTAATTCATGGGGATCATGTCCGTAATTTGTGGGCTGAAACCCAAAATAATTAAACAAGTATTATTATTATAATATATATTTAATTTTTGACATTTGTTCGCAACTTCCGCTCTAAAAAAGATTGAAAATGTGGTTGTGGTTCTTTTGCGAGGTCCTGTTGATATTACGGACAAATATGGTTCTGTGACTCAGGTCGTGCTCCGAACATGTGACTTTCAGCTAATCATTGATGTTTTAACAAAGCAAATTTGACGCTAATTGAAGGGTCGTCGTACCACCCAATTTCCGGCGTCGATTCACAGTGTTTTTGTGCTGTGACAGGTTCAAAATTATTCGCAGAAAAACATCAGTATATTTTGACAAACGGATAGATTTTGACCTCAATTCAAAAAGAAAATACTAGGCTTAGATACATTAGAGTCCACGGCGAATCAGTTTTCTCTGCAAGTTGGGAAATATAGTAAACCAGAGTAGGGTCGATGATTTTCAGCCCTGAAGGACTTCCGTGTGAATCCAGAGTTTCGAATTCATCGACTGGCCACCAAATATTTATGGCTATAACTAAATTTGACACGTTTTTTTAAGCCCAATAAATTATTCATACATGTCAAGCTCTGTTAAATTTTTTCAGGGCATGTGGTCGTTTTTAGTCGAAAATATGTTTTGTGGGAACACTTTTACGGTACGTAAACTGTATAGACTGAACTCATTCAATGATCGTGACTTATTTTTGAAAATTGAATGTCAAATTTTACTAGACCGGCCGACGTGGATTTGGTATCGTTATTTTTGGAATTAATCATTAACATTTCCTCGTTTCTCTGCTCTGTCAAAATGAGTTACCTATGCTTTTTTCACGTAACTGTCTCATTAAAATAATAAAAAATACTATATCTAGAACAAGCACCCAAAATACGTAACAAGAGGTCACAGTTCAGTTGCTTTCACGATACAAGTGTCATACAACTATTAGATTTGAAGTGTCGTACAGAATTTAATAATAGTTAATACTAGTTGTATGTTCACACTTTACTATCAAAACCACCATTTCAACCACTCATGTGGTCAGTGTTTGGGCGAGCGGTCGGTGTTTCAAGGAACGAGCGAGTGAAAAAAAAACGTGATGATAATGCGGTCGGTTTCTGGGCGGACAAGACAGCATGGTCGGAAATTAAGCGATAAACGGTCGATGTAAAAGCGGAAGGTTGGGCGAAATGAGTACTGTATGCCCGGACTGTATGACCATGTTTCTCTGACGAAGTCTCGACTGACAATGGACGTTAGATAAACACGCATTGTTTGCGACGGGAAGCTTATCACCCGTTATATCAGAATCGTCAACAACAGAGTATACAGATGAGATGTTATCATTTAAACCCTTCCAAAAATAAACATTATGCAAATATCCACGAAATTGTAGTTGTAGTCTTTTCTTCTAGCTTTTTAAAACACTAATTTAAGCAATGTTATTTCGCAATTTCGATTTTTTTGTAAACCTGGGATGATGTATCAAGGTATAAAGTAACCGTTTTATCAATTTTTGAAAAATCAAGAAAAAAGTGAAAATTTCCCTTCTCGCTACCTTAATAAAGTATGCTATTAAAAATGGGTTTGAAAACTCTCAGAAAAACATTGACTGCTAGATATTTTTGTTTACAGTCATGTTTGTTTACAATTCACCTAATGTTGAAAATGTCCTTAACATTTAGTAAACTACTCCAATGCAACATAACAGAGGTAATTTTGACAAAATTAATTGAGCAAAAAATATTGAGCATGAGTTGATGCACAGCAGTGAAATGCAAACCATGAGAACAATAGTAGCATAGTGGTTTTGCATCAGACTCATGATCGGTAGACCCATGTTCAAATCCTACCTTAGGCTGAACACTGAAAAAGAGTCACCCTATCCTGGGTGAGTGTGTCACAGACTCAATGGGAAGGCCAATTCCACTGGCCGAGTTTCATTCACTAACGAATGCAACTTTGGGGGAACCTTGGTTAAGGTCCGCAGGTGCTTGTGTTCGACGGGGCCTGGTTGGCGACAGGATAACGCATTAAATTGCCATTTGATGGCCACACAGCCCTGTCATGTAGGCCCAAACAAGAATATGGATTCTGTGGCAAAATGCACTATATGTCAGCACTTGCAACTTACACATACCAAAAAAGAACAACAGGAGAGACAACAGTGACATTCAATGTCCAGAACTGTCACCGAGCACAAAAACATTTAAAAAAAACCATGAGAACAAACCTAACACACAAATGTGCTAAAATATGTAACTTTTACATAACCCTCTTGTCTCGAAAGGACATTGCATGGTCATATGTTTCCTCTCCTCTAAAGTTTGCTGGTAGATGCCTGTTTCTCTCTTCTTTATTGTCTTTGAATTACTCTCCCTTATTTTCATTCTCAGGAAAAAACTCCAAAGCTTATGTGATCAAGGGTTGATAAGTCTTTTACTCTCATACACTGTATTTTTTAAAACTTGAATTTCCAGTTAGTCATTGCTCTTAACTGAGCAGTATTCACCTGAATTTGTCTGAGAAATGTCCCTGTTGTTACTGAATACTCAGTACCAGGAATAGACATGACATAAAATGAAATACATGGATATGTTGTTTGTTTAATGTAACTGAAAAAATAAATTTCATTCATAAGATACTTGCTAGCTAAGACCACTTGTACAGTACTTTCAGATATCAGAAGAGAAAACACCTGTTCGTTATTCCAACATAGTTTCTCAGACGTGCCAAGACAGACTTAAAGTTAGCATTTATTGATGCATTTTATTTCACAATTTAATTAATATGAAATTTAATTTTGTTTCAAGTATTCAACCCCTTTCTCAGATAGTCAATTACTGATTTTGTTTTAATTTGGTAAAAAGATAAGAGATAGTGGCCTGCATGTTCTATTTACTGTGGAATACATTATTTTCGCTGGAATTAATTTTTGCTGAAAAGGCATTTTGAGCGTTTTGTATGGATTTTATTTTCACGGAATCAACCTTCAGCGAAATTAGCGAAAATAAATTCCAAGGGAAAACAAAGTATTCTACAGTAGTTACTTTTTTGGTTTTGATGTTATTTAAGTGTCTGACAGGAATGTTTGTCAAAAAAATGTAAATTCCCAAATTTAAAGATATCAATAGGCTACATCAGACATGGTGGTTTACTGATGTCCATCAATTGGTTTTGTGATTTGATTCAAAATGGTCGAATGGTGGCCATGTTTCTTCTACTCTCAAAAACCTTTGACTATTTCTCTGATGTACCTTGATGACTAATTTGTAGCTACACAGAAAAAACTTAGTGGTATTCACATCATATGCACAGATGTTTCAAATAATCATCATCGGTTTCTCAGGTGTGCCTTTTTTAGAGTGAGTTATGGATGGATTTTCGCGACTTCATTCCATTTCTCATGCAGTCACACTGATTTCATTTAAATTTGGGACAAAGACAAGACATTAGTAATTAAAACACACATCCCCATTTCAGACTTCAATGGAGATTAAAAACTCACCTAGGTGAATGTATTACATTCTATCTTTTTTTTAAACTCTAACATGATTGGGTAAATTTTGTTTTGATAACCTGTCATCATAGTGAAAAGTGTCAGATGCTTTCAATGCTCAGTTTAAAGTCTAAAAATTGATAATTTCCTTCAGTTTCAGATCAACTAGTGCATGACAAAAATATGGCAGTTATTATTTTGCATTGAGTGTATGCGTGTGATCATTAATTAATGTTAGTAACACCTCAAAATCAAGTAACTTTAATATTCACCTGAGAAACACCATGGGTGACACTACTGTTGATTGTTTTCTACTAGGCAATGAATTTCTGATTCTTTTGTTTTTATTTCAAACTTTTCATTGCCAAAAAAATTAAAACCAATTCATATTTTTTGTTATCACATGGAAATACCAGCAATTATTTGGCGCGAGGGGTGGGATTTTAAGACTGTTTGAGATAACTATATTACAATCACATGTAAGTCTTTCACTCTCACCTGATGCTGAATTTAGAGCGATGCCTAAATTGGAATACTTAAATCTTATAGTTGCAAATTTCACATTATTACATATTTGTACAGTGGATAAGACAAGTTGGTTAAGCCGTTTGCTGCCAGCATGACCACCTTTTATTGCCAGCATGGCTATCGTTTGCTGCCAGCATGGCTACCGTTCGCTGCCAGCATGGCTACCGTTCGCTGCCAGCATGGCTACCGTTTGCTGCCAGCATGGATACCGTTCGCTGCCAGCATGGCTATCGTTTGCTGCCAGCATGGCTGCCGCTCGCTACCAGCATGGCTACCATTCACATACATACTTACATCTTCCAGAGTTTGAGGGAGGTCCAATAAAGGCAAGCCGTCAATATCATTCTGCGTACTGATTTCATCGTCTTCAATGCTGTTACTCGTATCCACACTGTCAATTACAGTAGTGTGCATTGACAACATTGTAACATTCTTTACCGTCAAGAGGTTATACTAAGAGCGCTGACACTATGAGATACCAATATCTACAAGACTTACATCCACTGCAATGGAAAAACAGACACAGATATTATATATATATATATATATATATAGGTTGGTAACAAGTTGTTACAAGAATAATGCAAAGTATGCCTGAAATCGTTAAAACAAGTTGTATTGGAATTGACATATACTATATGTAACAGAGGTTGATGCGCCCATGTATAGCCTGTGTGCATCTTTCGCGATATATTCATAATAATAAGTTTATTGTTATACATCTTCCTCAGCCTGCAACTGAGCTATAAACTTAGTTTTATAGAAACATGTCAACTTGGAGATATTTCATTCCATTTTAGGACTTAACATTTCCTAATAAGGTAGTAAGCTAATACCTTGAGCAATACCACAAAATTACAGGATGCTGAAACTCAATGAGGTACGATTAGAAGTATTTAATACTTAATTTAAGTATGGAATATTGGAACTCTGTTATTTCAGCAAATTTCATTAAGACTAAATGTTAAGCAC